GAAAAATAACATTTTTTGTGATTTTATTTTGAAACAGAATAAACAACAAATGGATTAAGCAGCGACATCCACATAAATGCGTGGTTTTAAAGGGCCTGTGACATCAAATGTTTGTATTAGATACGAATGCATTTTTGGAAAAATAACACTAACAAGGTTTTGCAAAACAAATTTCACACCGCTGAGATGAACCGTTCTTGAGATACTCACATGTAAAGTAACAGGAAGTGATGTCAAAGGGGAATGTCTGCATGTGAGCAGAGTGTTGCTACAGTAACTAACAGCACAGATTGTAGAGAATAATCTGATGTTTCTTTAGATTATTTAGTCACTATCATAGAGATGAATAAGAGTTCAAATATTGTTTTAATAAACAAAGAMCAGAGAGTTCCTTTTCTTGAAGAGTTCCCCTTTGATGTCACTTCCTGTTTTAATTTTACTCATGTGTATTATGGCAAGTTTCTAAAATAGAAAGATGTTTTCTTTTTGTATTTGAAGAATTTGCCTGTCACAGGCACTTTAATGTTGATTTTATACAATCAACATCAAAAAACACCAAAAACCAGATATGGTTCAACTGGGTTGAATTTACATCAATATGTGACGAAACACCTCCCAGAGAGCCGGACTAACAGAGACCCTGAAAACTCTCCAACTCCTCCTTCTGACTGAGCCAATCAGAAACCAGTAAATTAATTAWTAATAATAATTAAAACTCAGCGACTCACCTTCTCCCACAATGCCAAGGACTTCAAACTTATTCATCACATCACCGAGGGGCGGGGTCTCCTCCTCCAGGTGAAACCAGCTCCTCTGTTTTAACGAGAAGCCTCCTGATTGGACGAGCAGCTGAGGGACGGGACTGCAGACTCCTGATTGGCTGGGCGGCTGACGGAGCAAACCTCAGACTCCTGTTGGAACATGGCCGCCTCCCGACTCCACGCCATCRTCACTCTTCTTCTCCCGTTGTCTTCAGATATTTAAGGTTTCTTTAAACGTCTCTTACTTYGTGGCTCTGGGAGAATTTAGGATTTAATCGTGTCTTCATTCCATAACTGTGCTTTTATCCAGAGCTGCACCTGGACACAYCTGGAAGGAAAAACAAATACAGCAGAGTTTTACACGCTGACTGAAGAATTTACACATTTTCGGTTAAAAAAAAGCAAAATCTTATAGTGGACTTAAAATTAGCAGAACCTAATTTAGTGGAAGCTAACCAGTCAACTAAGGGTTTCCAAAGTTAGCAAAACAGCTAATCCGCTAAATGAGAAGCTAGTTCCGTTAGCAGAACGGTTCCCACCACTGCAGATAAATTGTTGAGACAGAAGTTAGTGTTGAGTTTGACATTTGTGAGCTTATTTTCAGCATGACTCAACAGAAAGTGTTTGCTCCATCTGCCTCATGTTAACTGAAGCAGAGATCATCGATCATCTAAAAATGGCTTAATGTGGACAAGCAGCAGCAAAGCTAACACCAACACGGTGTTAAAATCAAACAGACAAAACCTTCAAGGCTGGCCTGAAGAGTTTTCAGGATAATTTAGAGTTTCTGTCACAACACAGAGGGTGTGAAAGACAGTAAATTATGTAAATGTCCAAGGATGGCATCCAAGAAGAAAATAGCCTCGTTTCTTTCCAAAAACGGCAAGATTGATTTTCACAAAGCGACATTAAAGAAACCTGAGAAAACACTGACAGCACATTACTTTATTAGATTGTGAAAGGAGGTTAGGATCATTATTTTTGGCTCCAGTAGAATCCAGCGTGTTTGCAATGAATCTGGAACAAAGAATGAGTATTTCTGATGAACCACAGATGTGGGATTTGATGCTGGATGAGTTGGAAGATTAGATTTATAGATTTATAGCCCTAAAAATTTAACCAAGGCAGCATAAATTAAGCATAAGCATAGATTTTATATAGATACATTGTTTTTTATTTATTTTTATCTATTTTTTATTGTTACATTTTATTTGTTTCTGTTACATTTTACTCTTTGTACGGTGTCCTTGAGTGCCAGAAAGGTGCCTTTGAAATAAAATGTATTATTATTATTATTATTATTATTATAAGCATGTCAGTTTATTAGCATTAGCTTGTTGGTTTGCTAGCATTAGTTCGTCATTTTGCTAGGATTACCTTGTTGGTTTGCTAGCATTAGCTTAATATGCTAATTAGCTTGTCTGTTTGCTAAGTTTAGCTTGTTGGTTTGCTAGCATTAGCTTGTCACTTTGTTAGCATTTGGTCATGGACCTGCTAGTATTAACTTGTTGGTTTTCAATCATTAGTTTGTTGATATGCTAGCATTAGCTTGTCATTTCGCTACCATAAACTTGTAGGGTTGCTGAGGCTAGCGTAAATGTTTGAAAGGGTTACCTTGTTGGTTTGCTAGGAATAGCATGAAGGTTTGCTAGTTTAAACGTTGTAGGGTTCCGAGCGTTAGCTTATGGGGTTGCTAGGATTAGCCTGACAGTTTGCTAACTTTAGCTTGTAGGTTTTTAACGGTTTGCTTGTGTTTTTTTGTTTTTTAATGGTGAGCTTTAACAAATAAGTCAAGCTCAGGAAGGAGGGAAGAGTTAGAGTTGGCATAACACTGAGTTGTTTTGAAGTTATTATTTACAATTACTCATTTTTATTATTATTTTGTTTGTTTTACTTTTTTGTTCCTACCATGTTTAAAATAAAATAAATTAAAACAAAAACCTTTATTACTGTGCTGCTCGTTAGCCCAAACAATCCATAAATTGGTAACTGATGTGTGCATGTTTCTTTTTTGTCTGTTAGCAAAAATATTTCATAAACTAGGAAACAGATTTTAATGAAGCTTTCTGAAAATAAAAGAGAATGYACTTCTAGAAATGTGAAATTCTGCTAACAGACAAACAAACAGACAATTAGCTACATTATTACCATTCTTTTGATGCTGAGTAATAACTAATTATTTTCTAATTTATTTTTAACATAATTTCACATTTACATACATCATAATGAATACTTCACCTGGATTAAAAGGAAAAAAATATRTCCAGGTTCATTTCTTCTCCCGTCATAAATTAAAAATCTAATAATGCTTCTATTGTCATGCAAACACTGCTGGAGCGGAGCCACCAGAGCTCCTCTCTGTGTCAGTCCAACTCCATTTGTAAAACCCTGATTTATTCAGCAGAGCAAAAAAGAAGAAGAAAAAAAACACTTTAATGTGGATTTGGCTCATGTGCTGGTGTGGGCGTTTTCCTATGCAGCGTTCACTCCACACATCCTTCCAACGGGAAGAAAAAGGTGGATGTAGAGGCCACGCATGGCTGCGCAGTTAAAGATCTGTTGCTGCAGGAGGAGGACGGCTTCATGTTGACGTGATGAAAAAAACAGTTTAAAACTGAGCAACATGAGCTGCATTAATGTTACCACCATCACTGAGCATCTGGTGTCCAAACGTAAATAAAGAGTAAACTCTGASAATCGGTAAAATCCAGAGTCGGAGCAGGGAACTGAAAACATAAAGATCAAACAGTCCTTGAAAAAATGCAAATGACTCGCCGCCGTTTTAACGCCAGAATTTAAGATCTTGMTTTAAGATCATGTTGATAAACGATGGCTAGGTGCTTCTCGTGTATCTATTTGTTGAGAACGACTCTCAACAACTACCACCCAACTTTGAGCTCAATATTCAGTGGTGGGCACAGCTAACCAAAATGTTAGCCGCACTACCTGCTAAACTGCTAAACATGAACCTTAGCTCGGCTAATGCTAGATCACTTAACAGATAAAAAAAAATTAGTGGACGCTAACGCTAACCGCTAAGACTGACACAAAACTGTTATTAGTTTTCTATTGGTTTAATGTGAAGGTAGTCGGGATCATGCGTAGCAAATCAGCCAGTCAAAACCAGAGTTATACGTTCTTCTAACCTGTGATTTCAAAGCATTTTTTATTTTATTTTTAATTTTTTTGCTCTCGGAGGAGCAAGACGCTTTTACCTTCTCTCCTGCCCTTCCTTATCTTCCYTGCTTTGCTGCTTGGAGCCTTCTCTACGTTTTCATCCGAAACCAGAAATTATGGATAATTTTATTTTTATGGATTTGGTTAGCTGGTCTTTTAATAAATTTTTTGGAACTTGGAAGTTTTTTCTTCCATGGGAGGACATGTTAAAGGTGAGACCTCTGTTCTGCTCTGTTCTGGATATATATTTGGATTCCATCACTGGATTGTTCCTCAGGGAGGAGGTCCTGCCCCAAGTGGAGGAGTTTAAGTATCTCAGGGTCTTGTTCATGAATGGGGGAAGAATGGAGCAGGAAATCAACAGGTGGATTGGTGCTGTGTCTGCAGTGATGTGGGTGTTGTACTGGTCTGTCGTGGTGAAGAGAGAGCTGAGCCAGAAGGYRAAGCTCTCAGTTTACCAGTSGGTCTACGTTCCTACCCTCATCTATGGTCASGAGCTTTGGGTAGTGACTGAAAGAAGGAGATBACAGATMCAAGCAGCTGAAATGAGTTTCCTCTGCAGGGTGTCTGGGCTCTCCCTTAGAGATAGGCTGAGAAGCTCAGTCATCCAGGAGGGACTCAGAGTAGAGCCGCTGCTCCTCCACGTCCAGAGGAGCCAGTTGAGGTGGTTCATCTGGTTAGGATGCCTCCTGGACTCCTCCCTGGTGAGGTGTTCTGGACATGTCCCACTGGGAGGAGACCTGGAGGAAGACCCAGGACACACTGGAGGGACTATGTTTCTCAGCTGGACTGGGAACACCTTGGGATTCCCCCAGAGGAGCTGGTCCAAGTGGCTGGAGAGAGGAGAGTCTGGGTCTCTGCTGAGGCTGCTGCCCCCGAGACCTGACCCCGGATAAGCTGCAGAAAACGGATGGACGGACGATCACTGGATTCTACAGATTGGCTTGGTAGTCTCCTGGTCTTCTACAAAACAGTGTTGGTGGCTATTCGGACCATTTCCTGGCTGCCTGACCATTATGAAGGATTGCCGTTCTATCAGCACTCAGACTTTTGCCTTGAGTGAGCTGGACTCGTTCTGCAAGCGGTTCTGCTGAGGGTCGCAAGCCGGCTGTGGTTCCTGGACTTTGCTGGCCAGATGGAACTGATCTTGGAGAAAGCTGACAGCATGGCTCGGTGGAATTTGTCCACATTATTTGTCTGATTGGATTCGCCATATTGAGTTGTACCAGCGGACATGAAGGCTGATGGAAAATTGTTGTTGTCTGCCTGTCTCTTCTGTTCCCAAAACAACTGATTACAGACTCTGGCTCTCCTACATGGCCTTCAGTTGTTGGACTAAATTCTTCCTGGATGCTGACGTCGACTGAGGGTCTACCTCACACCTTCCCCACTCTCACACCCGTGTGTTATCTGGTTCCTGAGCAGGCTGAGGGCTGCACAGAATGAACACTTAACATCCATGTTCTGAACTATGGCTGTGCTGGTTTTGTGGACTAGATTCTTCGGGCTCATTCTTCAGATATTCACACAAGCATACAACACTCATGGCTTCAGATACACCCCTAAACTCACTTACTCCTCTGGCTAATAAATCTGCTCTATGCAGAGGTTATTTTTTATAAACACCATAGTGTGTCACATTGTTGATAGAATATGATGTTTTTTTTTTCCTCATCTTCCCTTGTGTGGTTTTTAGTTTTTATTTTAAGGGTTGTGCCTCCTCATGATGTCTTCATGAAGATGATCCTTGCTCTGTGCAGGTCTGAGGCTGTATGACCCAGAGCACCTGTTCTCCTATGTTTGTTATGTTCTGTCTTCTTCTGAATGAGTGTTCTGAACTGTAATTTCATTGTGCTCTGTACGATGACAATAAAAGTCTATCTAATCTAATCTAATCTAATCTAATCTAATCTAATCTAATCTAATCTAATCTAATCTAATCTAATCTAATCTAATCTAATCTAATCTAATCTAATCTAAACAGGTTTTTATTTTTATAAATATTGTATGAAGTTAGTCAAACAACAAAAAGCAACTAGACATGGGTTTTTATGATGTAAAAACAAGTGTGCATTGCCATGTAGTATGTCTTTGCCTGAAGCAGTTCACTTGCAGAAGGAAATGTGACCAAGTTCAAATGTATTATCTATACCAGCTTGTGCCTGTCAAGTTAGCAGGTGTTTGTAATTAGTGTGATTGTGTGACAATATGACAATGTGAAAATATTTAGGTTTAATGAAATAGTTTGTTCATGGCTGGGATTGAACCCTGATGTCCAGCATGAAAGCCCACAGTGTTCACCATGAGGCTATAGGAGCTGCTCCAGTAGGTACTCCCAGTGGTTGGTTTGTATGTGTGCTGAAAGAGGCCGTATTGCCAATGCAATTGTTGACACTAAACTGCAATATATTACAGCAATAGAGCAGTATTAAGACAATATTATAGTAAAACATCAAAATACAATCATATTAGTATTGTAAACACTGAACTACTGAGTTGAAATATTAAACTATGGTGCAGTACCAAGTTGAGTACAGCATGGGGCAGTATTGGACCATTACAAGGCCCCATTGACTGCCATTATAATTTATTAAACATTAATATTTCAAAAACTATAAGTTTTACAGGCACCAAAAGGCATAGCCATCATTTGGCACAGGATCTTTACAGATATAAATTACAACGGCAGCTCTAGGACAAAGTATGCAGGAGGAGAAGCATGGCAAAGTTGAGATGACTTGGATGGGTAACGAATCACAATAGTGTGCATCGCATTGGCAATGCACACTGAATACTTTCTCTACCATATTTAATGTGTAGTAATATTATGTATTTGTTATATAAATGTTGTTATGTGTTATTTCATTTATTTTGATGCTCTTAGTTTGAAGTTTAGCTGCTAAAGATGCTACATGCTAACACATTGTGCCTGACATGCCCAACACTGATTGTAATAGAGAATAGTTTTGATCTAATTTGAGTTAGAGTTTGGAGGAAGTTGTTTTTTAACAGGGACAGATATATAATGTTTTTCTTCTTCTTTTTGCAACTTTATTATTCAATAATTGAGTTCCTTTGATGTTTTAATGGTTTTTGTTGGCTTTAAGAAATAAATTAATAAACACTCACAACTGCTTCTACCAGTCCTGAAGCCTCACACAGCCACTCCAGCTGCAAACGACACTTTTCTTTTATTCCCATGGAGTTCAGGGATTGAAATAATATTTTTAGAGCAGCGTGGCTTTTATGAGGGGGTCCCTGGAATTTTTCACTCTTGTAAGGTTTCCTCAGACCCAAAATGTTTGAGAACTCCTTCCACTTGACCTACAAGATACTCACCAAGTGTTTACTTGTGTAAAAGGCTGTTTAACAGCCTGTTAAAAGACACCAGAATGCAGGAAATGGCATCTAATTCATTCAAAATGTTCTGGGGGTGGACCCCCAGACCCCCCACCAGTGATTTTACACACATTTTTCTCCTTCATTAAATACAATACAGCCCTGATCACAACTGTTGGCAAAAATCCAAATATGCAAATTGGACGATGACATTATTTAGTAACTTTTAGGATGGCTGACAACAACTTTTGGCGACAGTGTTCATCGGCTCAAAATCTGTCTCCAAGCTCAGGTCACAACCTGAGGGTCCTGACTCATGGTTGAGCATTTTTTGTGTTTGCTCAGGGTAGTTATCCTTGGTGGCCATCTTAGATTGACTCCAAACTTTAATCTGCTTAACTTGCATCTGGTGATTAAACCTTGAAGGTTTTAATTAAAATTAGCCAAGTGGGTCATGAGATATTTTGCTAACAGATATACAGGGATTTAACACGGATTTAGCCCATTCTGTTAGTGTTAACTCTCAGCTATTACCACACCAAGTTTTAGCTCCGTATCAGTAAAACTGATTGAGTTTCGGTTAATTTTCTGTTTCTTAAAGTGGATTAGCTGTGGCGGCCATCTTGAATCAGATGGACTCCAAACATTAATCAGTTGTGGAGGAAAGTCCAGTGATTATTTCCTGAAAGTTTTATTAGAATTACTTCTGTGAATCATTTTGCTAACAGACAAACGAATGGACAAAACCGTTGACGCTTCGCCTTCGGTGGCGGTAAAAAAAAAAAAACGTCTGTAAAACTGATAGGCTGGTGCGCGCATCCCGCGTGCATGAGAAGGAGCGTGTGCACGCGCGAGACAGCGAGGGGAGGGGCGGTGTGTGTAGCTGATGCTGCTCTCTCTGCACCGAACTGCGTGTCTCCCGTCGCTGCGTCGCGGAGCGCAGCGCCATTCCATCGCTGTCCACGCGCCTCTCAGCCTACACAGCGAGCCGTGCACACACACCACCCCGCGTGCACCATTCTGTTGCACAACGACCTTCACAGACAACATGAAGCTGCTGTCACCCGCGCGCCTCCGACAAAAACAGAAAAAAAAAAAAACGGGGGTCTACCTGCAGCTGAGGGGGTGAGGATGATGATGAAGAGGGGGGGATGAAGAGGCGTCATGTGGAGCGACAGGCGGGCAGAAAAGAGCCCGGGCCCGCGCTTCGTGATGCGACCACCAGAATGTCCGACTGGGTCCGGATCCGGACGGAGAGCAGCAGACCCGAATCCGCGGGCGCAGCGTCCAGCCTCAGCATCAGCTGCTCACAGCGGCGAAGGCGTCATTCCTCTGAGCGACGCCGCGCGCAGCCAATGGGAAGGCGGCCGCGCGCGCGCGTGCGTGCCAGCAGTCAGCGGCTCCGTGATAAAAAAAAAAAATACATCAAACTTCAGGTCGGAGATGAGCAGGGCTGTCACTAGGTTTTACGGACAAGGGGGGCTGAGCCCCCAAGAGACACACAGCATTTTTGTATATTATACATTTGTATTG